GTTCAGATCTGTAGCTCCTCTTGAATGAAACGATAAAGCCTGGCAATGGTGGACCCCCACGGCACACCAACGGGGGGGCTGAAGAGTGGATGTCTCCTTGAGAGGAGGCACGCACGCTGCTGTGCCCTACTCCCCACCACCCCCTATTGCTCTCAGCCATTTCCTTTCATTGCCTGGCCCCCACGAGCTTGTCAGTGTGTGATCCTGTTTCCCCAGTCTCTCCTTTGGTTCTCTCCACGGTGCATTGCTTCTGGAGAGATGCATGTTGCCACTGTGGGCGTGAGGCATAAATCCTTACAAGCGAGCACTCACCAAGCTCTCTGGTAATGGTAATGGCGCAGGCGATCCTGTGCCATTCCACAGGCCCGAGGGTTAGAAAGTCCAGGACTTTGCTTCTGAGCTCGAGGCTCATATATCTTACTGCCTACTTGATATCTTCGCTTGAACACCTCACACGCCCTTCCTACACCCCAAACTGAACTCATTATCTTCTGCTAGGAAAATGACTTCTTCCCCATATGGCATATGACACCGCCCTCTACCCAGGGGCTCCCTCAGCTCCCCCATCTAAGCCAGCACCAAGGCCTGAAGAGCATACCACACTATCCATCCCCTCCCGTCCCACTGCCACCTTCTCATCCTGACCACCCTGACCCCTCACTGGCACTGCCACAGCCTATTGGATCCATCTCCCTGCTTCCTCCCTTAGTCCTTCTAACCCGCTCCCTCGACAAACCCTGAGTGATCCTAAAAATATTAAATCAGAATCACTTCCTCCCCTATTCAACACTCACCACCCCCTTCCTCTTGCCCTGGAATAAAACCCTAGCCTCCTGCCTTGGCTTATGAGTCTTGCTTGTCCTGACCGTGCCAACCTATCACCCTCCTAACTAAACTTACCTGCCACCGGCCCTCCTTCCGCTCAGACACATCAAGTCATTTCCTGCCTCAGGACCTTTGCACATGCTTGCTCTGTACATGAAACACTCTCCTACCACCAGCAAAAGAGACAGCGAGACAGGGAGAGGAAGGGCATCATTCCTCTCTTTGTTGGCTCTGTCACTGGCTCCAGGTGCCCGTTGGTAAGTCACCTCCTCAGCAAGACCCTCCCTCTAAAGCAGGTCTTCTCACTGCTCCCTTGGCATGGTTTGTTTTGTTGTAGCCATTACCCCCCAAGATATGAATCCAACAGGTGAGCTACTAATCAGCTACCACGTCTTACCTAAGAGTCTATAGGTCAGTCCAGGTTGCCCTTGTCTGGCCTCCCTAACCCACCTGCATCTCAGCAGGTGTCACAATGGTACATCTCAGGATGCTTATCCTGGACTGCTTTGCACCTCCGGTGCCCCCTGAGCGAGCTCCATCAGGGCAGGTACTGTGTCCACCTCACCTATCATTATATTATCAGCACCTAGCACAGTGCCTGGCACACAGCAGGTCCTCAACAAAATATTCGCCAAATGAATGAGTGGTGAGATGTGGAAAGCATTTAAGGTTTGGAACAAATTTTCCTCTAAGACCAAGTGACATTCGGGGATGGGGGTA